CATTTTTGCGGTCATAGTTTTTTGATCTAGCAAAAGTTTGGTCAAAATCGGACATTCAAATACATATTCCCGGAGATTCGTGAGGACTATGGATAATCCGAGGGTGCCACTAGAATCCTCTCAACGAGACGAATCTCTAGCTACCGATCTTCGCCGGAAACCGCCGCCCCCGCCGCCATCCACCGCCACCGTCCGCCGCCAAAATTTGTCCGATCAGAAAATTTCTTACACCATCGCGATGCTCTCCTCGTGCTCGTTCTACCCTTAAAATTTGAAGAAAAATTCCTCCGGGAAGGCCGTCGATTTGACCGGTCAAATTTTGTGGATCTAGAAAATGGGTGATCAACTTCGGTCATCTTTCCTATTTTGCCGGTGAGTCATGTCAAATCGACTCCACCATCGGGACCGCCTCACCAAGACGCACGCACAGACTTTCACCTCTGTCGAATCCGATCACTTTGGTCTGGCGGCAGTTCTCCGGCGAAGCACGGTCGCTGCTCTATGTTCAGCTCAGCGCAGCTCCCTGCCCTTCTTGGAAACGGCCTAGTGGCGAGGCCTAGGTTCGTAGCCCTGCGTACACAACCCAAGGGAGCCTGTCCTGAGGCCCAGCAGGATTTTTATGGTCAGCCTAACAGATGTAACGCTGCCCAGTTCGTGGCCCAACCTCGAGTCCATCCCAGCGCGCGGGCCGCTTATAGCCCGTGCGGCCCGCTTCACTCTCAGGTGTCGGCTCGCACAGTTCGCGCCAGACCCAAATACATGCCACATACCCAGCCCACGCTAGGCTCAAATCCAGCCCGCGTCACCAGCTCGTCTCCTCACATTTTTGGCCCGCGAGGGCCCAAGGCCAGCCTGCGCAAGGCCCAGTCCCCCTGACGCCCCTCAGCCTGGCCCAACTGAGGTTCCGCGGCCCATAGGCGTTTTTCTGCGGCCCAGTTCATGATTCCAGCCCTTTTCGCACCTAGATTTTTCCAGCGCGCACTAGTCAACGCCCAAGAGGCCCAGATCGGTCCAGATCGCACCCAAACTGCTTTAGCTCGAGTCCAGATGGTCTAGAAGTGGTCCACACCGGCCTAACTTGGCCCAACAGCCCTGTTTGGTGCTCAAGACTTATTCAGGATTATTGAACGCGGACCGTAAGGTAAGTTTGAGATAACATTCTCATGGTGAAGGTATGTGGCTGTCAAATTTTGAGACCAAATGATTTTGAAATTGGTGAACATTGAAAATTTGGTTTATTCATACAGGATTGTTTGATTTGCTCGTGTTGGATTATATGGCGTGGATTATATGGTTTATTCGTGGACTATATGTTTTATCCGTGGATTATATGGTTTATTCGGAAAAATATTTGATTTATTCATGGAGGATTATTTTATTTGCTCGTGTTGGACTATATGTTTTATTTGTGGATTATATGATTTGGTCGAGGAGACATTATTTGGTTTATTCGTGGAGAATTATATGATTTATTCGTGGATATTATGTGATTTGATCGAGGAGGCATTATTTGGTTTATTCGTGGAGGAAATACTTGATTTGATCGTGAAAATATTTAATTTATTCATGGATGACTATTTGATCTGCGCATGTTGGATTATATGGTTTACTCGTGGATTATGTGATTTATTCGTGGATATTACTTGATTTGATCGTAGCTATTTGATTTGGTCGATGAGATTGATTTATTCGTGGATATTATTTGATTTGTTCGAGGAGATTGATTTATTCATGGATATTATTTGTTTTGATCTATTCGTGGATATTATTTGATTTGTTCGAGGAGATTGATTTATTCATGGATATTATTTGTTTTGATCTATTCGTGGAGGATTTTTTGATTTATTCGTGGATATATTTGGTTTGGTCGAGATATTAGTTGGTTTATTTGCGGAGGATTATTTAATTGGATTGTAAAGTTATTGGACTTGCTCGAGAACGTGGATTATATTTATATAATTGGATATCTTGATACACCTGGATTCTTTATTTGGATTTTCATGTGAAAGCGTGGAATTTTGTTTGAATTGATTGTTCATAATTTTGGTGTGTTTAAGCATGTTAATACTCGAGCATGTCTTAAATCGAGCAAATGGTAATGTTGGCATTAGATATTGATGGGTCTCCTCCTAGATCTGGAGTGAAACGGTGGAAATGAGCTCAGATCTGTTTGAATCGCCTTCGAACTGTTGTTAGAACGCGAGAATACCTGCAAACACTCAACGCCAGGGTGTTTCCGGCGTAGAGCCTTCGACGATCAAGTCAGTACGTGAGAGAGATGGAGAGAAGCTGCTCCGAGAGAGCAGCAGCTGAAGAGGAGAGTATGGAATGAATATGGGAGTTAGGGTTTAGGGCTACCTCTTCTCTTTTATATAGGAGGGAGAATTTACCTGAGATGTCCAAAATTGTAACACCCCATTTTGATTTTACAGAAATTCCGGACTTTCCAAAAATTAGTATAAAATTTTCGAGATCATTTTTGAAATTTAATGGGTGTTAAACAACAATTTTCATAACCCAAGTCTTATCTGGGCCCACGGGGATTCATTACCCGGTTTTTGCAAATGGTTTTCATTAACCAAAACATAACACGAGACATAATTCTCAAACATGAACATTTAAACCAAACCATCATACCCAATCATCAGGGTTCCTCAAGTTTTCCAAAAATAAAACAAGTCATACGTTTTGGAAAATGGTTTAAACAAGTCTCCACATAAAGGTCCAATAAAGCCTTATTTATTCTACGAATGCAGAAAATGCATGATTAAAGACTGACCCACTCGGCTCTTCTCGTCACCCTGCTCCTTCTTAACCTGCATCGGTGAAGAGCAGGTGGGGATGAGCACAAGATGAAAAGTGTGCTCACCACTATGCACATATATCACAACATAAATAATGTGGAGGAGGTATGGTTATAGTATGAAAATAAATCAATTATTCTGTCATGTCTCCTAATCACATCACAACATAATATCCACGTGTACACATCTTTCATTAGTCAAGGAAAGGGGATTCATTACCCTAACTCATGGGGGTACATGCCATACAACAAGACACGGCCTTTCATTAGGTCTTACGGAGACTTACCTCGCAAGGTAACCGTATTACATCGACGCGGACAACCATACCGACGGCCGAATCGGCTCACGCCGATAGTCTACATGGTATACATACATACTAAAATCATACCAAGTCAACATTATAGTAAACACATACGACATAACAAATTTTAGATTAAAACCCACCTGGTACAACAATGGAATTAGCACACAATCAGGAGTAGGCAGCGAGCACGGCTCGTCAAACACCTACAACAATTAATATACTAAGATCAACACCTATTTGACCTTATGAACAAACATAATCATACATTGGTCGAACTTGATTCAACGAAGTAGTTCGTGAAGTTCTATGGACATTGGAACACTTGGACCTAACACTTAGACTTAACTAAAAATGCATATAAACACCAC